GCAGATCAGATGGTAGTTGCAATTGAACGGTATAATTCAACACCACAGAGTCACAATTCTTGATGGAAGTTATGACACCAGAGTAGGTTAGTTAACACTACTGCCAAATGAAAGCAACAGTTCGTGATGAATATTGCCAGTAGTAAAATGTGGCATCGTGAAAATGAATGCTTCCTACTGGTTAATGTGCCATGCATCCTAGCAGTTATTTCAAAAGGGTTCTCATGAATGTATTTGCAGAAGTTCTGAAAATCCCGCTTTATTTCAGACACCGAAATCTGATGACTATGCTATAACTGCCCCTGCAACTCAGAAAAATTGCCAATAATACTCTAGTGATGTTGGCATTAGATGCTCATGCACTTAAGGACTAATGACTATTCGTGGAATTTTATACTGTTCTCTCCTCCACTGCATGGTATCCAAAGGGAACAATTCAGGACTAGGAAGCAGAGCAAATAACTCAACCAAGGATTTGGTTCACACACTTTTGCTGTGCCCCCAAGTTAAGAATCCATCACCCAATGACAGCTGAAATGAAAACATGGCTGCTTGGGTGAAACTGATGCATAATTCTGAGGAATCTGCGCCCAGGAAATGTGGTGCAAATCATCCTTAACTGCTTACCTTGTTGAATTCCATATGTATTTGCAAGTCTGGATCAAGCATTTGTATCAACAGAAACACTTTTTAAAATTATTCTAGAAAATAGATAGATGCAAAAGGACTATATTGGTTGTCTCCAAGTGGATTTTTGAGGTTAGAAGGGAGACTACAGTATGAGATTCCTGTTAGGGTATCCACAGGAATAATTACATACAGAAACTTCCTATGGAGGCAATTCCCCCAGAAGACAGTTAAAGAGGTCAAAATGATAGTCTCTGTCTGCTCCACTGGGATGATCATAATCAACCTGAGCAAAAACTAATGGATTTGTTTCTACAATGTCTTGCAACCAGTTTGCAGGAGTGCACAGCAGAAGTAGCAAGCTCAAGATGGGCAAAATGGGGGATTTAGTTCAAGGCACATAAGCCCTAAGTCATTTCCCAAGAAACATCCATCTAACCCACTTTAACCTTTAAAGTAAACCCCAATGTTCCAATGACATTTGTTAAGTATATATGCTATTTCAGCTCTCTCCGAAGGAAGTCTCCCCTTTTCTCAAGCTTCGGCAAAAGACAGTGTTCCATTTGTTTTCTATACAACATGAGCCACAGAAGATAAATAATTTACCAACAATTCTAAATCAAGCATGGTATATTTGCTACAGACTAAAGGATAGAGGGGATTACTTTAAGCAGAATTGTGTGAGTGTATGTGCCTATCCATCCATCCATCCATCATCCAGAACAGAAAACCTAGGCACTTTTCAGATGGAGGATAAGATTAAATATGCTATATATAGGCTTACAAATGTATCCTGTCATAGGGCTGCCAAGAGCTTCACAACATTTCAGCTATTAAGGATTAAAAGCTAATTATGCATGCAAACTTCCCCTTTTCTCCTGAGAAACAGGGAACTCACAGCATTTTTAGTTTAATATGGCTTCATTCTGGCAACTAATGTTGCATTTGCTGTGATTTACCTGATTTTATTTTATTTCCATCACAAGCCATTTTAAATTCCAAAGCTGTAGAGCAGAATAAAATAATAATAATAATAATAATAATAATAATAATAATAATAATAATATCATGGCCAGCTGGCCAGCTCCTAAAATGACTTGATGGTCTTTTGCTAGAGTTTCAGCATTCAAATTCAAACAGGTCTCACTCTACTCATTTCCTAGATGGAAAGATGGAATCCTTTCTTCATATATGCTACTTCAAGCTATTTGTGAAACAGTCATATACAAATGCACATAAAAAGAATGCTTCAAAAAGCCTGCAACCAGCTGCCCAGATATTCAAGCAAATCCATTCTTCTAGCTCTTCTTTACATACAATTTTATCCATTTACACAGAGATCTTCCCACCTCCATCAACTCCTTCAGTACGTTATCAATCACTTTATCGGCATATTAGCAATCCTTTTATTGTGCTGTGTGCATTAAATTCATTGTCATGATACATTCAGCATTATTTGTACCTGTTAGCTTTGCTGAGCTGTAATAAAAGGACATATTCCTCGCATACCCTTTTCTGACACAGCATGAGAGTGCCAAATGCATTATTGTGAAGGCAGGTCAAGACTGACAACAAAGAACTGCTACATACAAGCTGAACTTCCTTAAACCCAAGCTGAAATTCTAGGAACTGTTACCTGGGAATAAGTCCCATTGAACACAATAGGACTCATTTCTGAGCACACATCTATAGGATTAGATTGAACATCATTTCATGTCAGAAACTGCATTGTTTCTTGTGTGCACGTGCCTATGTATAGCCATGGGAGGAGTTCAACATTATGCAGAGGTGATCATTCCATCAGGGCAAGCATATTTTAGCCTCACATAAATTGTGAAAATTGGCAAATCACAGGGGATACGAAGGAGGAGGACCCCATTGCACAAGCAGGCATCCTTGCAGAAGACTTCTGCTGACAGGACTCATTTGTACATATGGCAAAATAGACATATATAGATTTATAAGATACAGATACAATTTACTATTTTCTAATTAGATTTTTTATTTAGAACCAATTGCGTATTTCCAAAATTGGGAAAAATATAAATGAAAAGCAAGATAAAATATACGATCACACACACACTGTACATACTGAGTGTGCCATCCTAAGTCCCTAAGGTGACACTCCAGGAGCTAAAGGGAGGTCTACTGTGAAGATCATCCTTTGACCGGCAGTGGAAAGCTCCACCACTGTAGCTCCTCTGAGCAGAAAGGGCAAAATAGAGTCATTTCCAACTGATGCAACCTCATAGTGCAGTCCAAGCTAGCCAGTGGGGTGGCCAGGTGTGGCCAGCATAGTATGAATGCATCGCCTGCTGATTTTCATGCATTTTGGAAGCACTGCACAAACTGCTTCACAATTCCTGTGCTCACTGCTTCCTAAGGGCCCAACAGCCAGCTGGTTGTTGAGCAATTTGGAAGCAATTGTACAAATTGGCCGTGCCTGTAAAGCCCCTTTTGACCAAGCCATGCCCTTACCTCCCTCCCACTCCCTGATGTCATATATGATTTCATGTGCAAGGCAAGTAAGGGCGGGGTTTCACTGAAATGGCCTCAGGGGCCAAATAGGGAGTCATGGTAGGCCAAATTTGTCCCACGAGGCAGAGGTTCCCGGCTCCTTTTCCTGGATCTAGGGATACAGCAAATGCATTTTTACTTTGGTCTCCTCAAAACACCTGTTTCCGCCTTTCTCCTGGGCATGGTCGGCCAATTGTTGCCAAAAAAGGACAGAACTTTCTTTATGTATCCTACAACAGCAGCAAGAATACTCATCGCGAAGTATTGGAAGACACAAGATCTACCCACCCGTGAAGAATGGCAGATGAAGGTGATGGACTACATGGAACTGGCGGAAATGACTGGCAGAATCCGAGACCAGGGAGAAGAGTCGGTGGAAGAAGATTGGAAGAAATTTAAAGTTTATTTACAGAAACATTGTAAAATTAAGGAATGTTAGAAGGATGTTGGAATGAAGTAATGTGGTTTTAGCAGAAATGCTATAAAGGATTAAGAAAAAATAGATTGTTAAATGGTGAAAGGAGGGAAAGTAAAGTTACAATCTATTAAGATAAAATAGAGGACGAAAACTGGAAAAGATGGAAAGGACTTGCTGAAATAGCTAACTGAACTAGAATACAAAAAAGGGAGGTGTGAGGAGGTCAAGGAAACAAGCAAATGAAAGATAAATTATGGGAAGATTTATTGTATATATATTTTTTTCTTTTTTCTTTTTTCTTTTTTCCTTTATTGTGATGTGATGTTCTGTTTTTCTGTTCAATATGCTGTTTTCTATTTTTTCTTTTTGTAATCTTTTAAATCTTAATAAATATTATTTAAAAAAACAAAAAACAAAACACCTGTTTCCATGTTATGGAGAACCAGCAAGTGAAGAAGCTTGAGTGAGAACTGTTCCCTCTTTGTACACTTCTATCGCAGTGTTTAAAAGTAAGACTTGGGATCTTCCTCATATTGGCATTTATAAGCCTCAGTAGCTTGGTGGTGTTCATGTTCTTCACTGATCTACAAGTTTCATTTCGTATGTTGCAGCAGAACAGACAGATGAATTGCAGCTCACTTGCATTTCCTCTTTTTCTGCTGTTTATAGCATAGTAAATAACCAGGAACCTACAAGCCTCATTGCTCATTATACTGAAGGACTTCAGTTTACCTTGTTTTTAAAAGAAACAAAAACAACAAAAAGAAAAGCCAAGCAAAATGTCTATCTCTTCTTCTGGAAAGAGGTACAGAAAGCATGGACTCACTTAGAGCTAGAGCTAGGAGCTCTAAGCAGAGGAAGTTGCAAAACATGTGTGCTAAGATGTTTTACGCCCACATTGTATACCTCAATAAAACACCTGTCAAATAAATGTCAGTCTTCACTTTCATAATATATTGGGGCCACCAGGTCCTATCACACACTAATACCAAAGACTAAATCTGTACACCGCACAATATCCTTGAGCACAATAGATAACTGTTTTATAATAGTTGTTTCATGTAACTAAGCGATCGTAGATTTGAGAAAGATCAGCCTAACAGTTCTCTGTATAAAATATGTTACTTTTGTCTGAATTAAAAAGGACCTACTAATTCATGGCTATTCTTGAAAACATACTTTTACTGTCTGCCAGTGATAAGTGCTAAATTAAAATGAAATACAGTCTGTCCTCCCATTCTTTGATTGTCTACTGCCCTTAGAAGTCATGTTTGATAGTTGAAACAAACACAGTTCCTTTTGACCAATAATAATAATAAAGCATCAAATTACCTCAGTAATCTGTTTCCGGTCATGAAGCCTAGATCCACTTAGCAGTCACCATGCCTTGGCCACTGTTTAAAAGAAATAAATACCAATTAGGGAACTGGATTTACACATACAGATAGCTCAGCCAGTAGAGCATGAGACTCTTAATTTCAGGAGAGTGGGTTCAAGCCCCATGTTGGACAAAAGATTCCTGCATTGCTGGGAGGTTGGACTAGCATCACCTTGTGGTCCCTTCCAACTCTACAATTTTATGCTTCAATCTGTCATCAGTTTGGTTGACTGAGCTTTTATCAAGCAGATCCAAGGAGGAATATAGAATAAAGAAGATCTGGGGGAAGCCAAACCAGACTAAGGGCAATTCACACGATCACTTGGGACCAGTAATTATCAAGGAATAAAATTATCATCTTTTGATAAAGTATCCTCCATGTAACATTTTGTTCACATGGTAAATGAACGCCTATTGGTGGCAGTGACCGGTGACTATTCATGCAATCAACTTGAGACAGAAACAATAATCACATGATCAACAAGGGCATGCTTATTGCTTCTCAGTCATCCCATTATTCTTAGTATTACATTTTAAGGTCACCTTTCACAGATATGACCAAAGATGTTGCAAAAATGGTCCACAATGCTGGTTTAAGAAGGGTGGACTAATTTAGCACTTCAGATTTGTCTAGAACCCTGCAGCTCTTCTTTGTATAACTATACAGATATGTGAGGGCCTTGGTTTTTGTTTTGTTTTTCCGTTGCTAACAAAGCCCCCCAAAATGGCTTCAATCTCCACCTTTTCTTCTGCACACATAAAAGTCATACACTTGGTGTGTTCAATGAGTCTTTAGGAATAATAGAATCAATCCTTTAAGAACCAATATACTGTGGTGGACATTTCAAGGAGAGAAAAAGAGCAGATATATTAAAACAATTTCAGCAATTTCCTTTGGTATTGAAAGTTGTGACCCTTTGAATAGCAGCTCCAATGCATTTCTATTTAATGGCACAGATCTACATATAAAGCCCCAAGGCTTGGAATACGCACAGAAGCCTCATGTATTTATTTTATGAAGAGTAACATTAACTTAGGAATACTTTGATGAATGTTGAATAGGGCTTTGCCGCTGTGTGTGTGTGTGTGTGTGTGTGTGTGTGTGTGTCAAAAGAAGTCTGCAGCATTTTGAAAGAGCATACTGTGATACACACACTGGTTTTCAAAAAATTGTCTGCAAATATAATACTAAAATAAATCCTCATGTCACATACAGCCATACCTTGGAAGTCGAACAGAATCTGTTCCGGAAGTCCGTTTGACTTCCAAAACATTTGGAAACCAAAGTGCGGCATCTGATTGACTGCAGGAAGTGCCTGCAACCAATCGGAAGCTGCGGAAGCCCCATCAGATGTTTGGCTTCCAAAAGAACATTTGAAAACCAGAACAATCACTTCCAGGTTTCGATCGTCCTGGAGCCGATTTGTTCGGGAGCCAAGGCATTTGAGAGCCAAGGTACAAATGTACTACTTTCCAGTTTGACCTTGACATCTTTCCTACTAATATTTAATAGGATTTTTAACCCAAAACAAGATCCAAGAAGTTCACACCACAAAATATGTTCTGAAAGTATTCTGTTTTCACCTCCCACCCACAAATAAACCTGTCCAAATGTGGAATGATGTTCCAGGTCTAGATTGCTGCCCTGGTGTTGCTGGAGTACATCTGTCGCTGGACAATTATCCCAGACCATTGGCAATGCTGACTGAGACTGATAAGGGATGGAGTCCAACAGCATCTGGGGAACCATAAATTTCCATCCTCTCTTTTAAGGAGAAATCGGGTTCCTGTACAATTCCCACAAACCATGCAGGCTTTCAGCACCTTTTTTGTTTGTTTCAGGAGTCTGTCAGTTGAAATTAAGTTATTAATTCATAAAAAGCTTTAAGGCAAGTTTCTTGCATCTTTGTTCCCTGAATATCTGTCCCATTTCCAGTCCATAACTCCATTAGGAGCAGATGGGAAAGGAAGGAAAATTCAGAACCTTGGATAAGGACTAAAGTACAAGTTCAGGACCACGGTTAGTGATCCTGCAGTTGAGTCAGAAAACACAAGCTATCTCAGAGGTATCTTGGAACAACTGGCAGAACCTTATATTGTGGGCTAGGTAATCAAGATGGAACCCTACCTGCTAAGTGTCCATCTGCAGCCAGCTGCTTTTTAAGGAGTGGGTTTTCTAGCAGTGGAGACTGTTTCAGAGAAAAATCCTGGGAGTTCTCCCAAACCTCTGAGATGTCTGTGGTCCAGACTTGGGTGTTTTAGAGTTGAGGTGCCAGTGGACACACTGTGGAAGGGCCAGGAAGTGGAGACATCTCCTCCTCAGGGCTGCTGCTGTAGGAGGATTCTTGGCCTGGGGCCATGACAATAGGGAAGGCTTTAAACTGCTCACCACACTCAGGGATTTCAATGCAGCCAAGATCAATGTTCCTGCACTGCAGCATTGTTCCTGCACTTGAGTATTGCTGTGTTTTATTTTATTTTGTTTTTGTTTTAAAAAAGTCTATTTGGGGTATAATTTCTGCATATAATGAGTCAAATACCCACTGCCTTGAGGGACATCTACAGGAGAGAGAAAAGGCTAAGTAGTAAACCCTACACAAATCTGGAGTGGAGTCCCTAAAACAGTTGGATAGTGTCCTGAATGCCTCCTTCCGGCAATTCCTGCAGCAAAGTTGGTGCCAAATATATTTCTCTCCTTTCCTTTAGATCACATCAGAGAGACCAGCAAGGTCTTGTCATCTGGGCAGCCCAGGACCTCCATACACACTACTCAGGCTTGTGCCCCAGAGAGGTCACTTTGGTGCTGCCAACACAGCAAGAACAACATGGGAGGAAGCAGTTACAAGTTACCAGTCTCTGCAGTCACAGCAGCTATTTGACTTCACCCCTGGTGGTGCACTCCATTGTCTCCCAAGACAGATGCCAACAAAAACCTCACCCGCCCAAAATAATACACAACCCCCGTATGTTATACTAAATATAAGAGAGTCAAATTGTGGGCTGTACCATATTTATGGAGCAAAATTTGTCTCTATATCTATATCGTCTATATATTATACAGTTATATACATTGTTGTATGCATCTGTTTATGTGCTCCTTACTTAGGGGATCTGGAGTGTATACTGTATGTATGTAATATATTATGCTTATAATATAATAATGTTAATGAGGTGTGATAACTTCATTCTTTGCAGAACTGAGGGTTTTTGCTTCTCTTAAGGAGTGAGATGGTTTTTTTAAAAAAAATAATCAACCCTGTGTAGATAAGCTTGACATCAAGATTTTCAGACAATTTCATTCTAAGTTTGGGGGTGTGCTGTAAAAATGCTTCTTATGTCTGTATTATTTTTGCTTTGAGTACTTATTTACTGTTTATTATCTTATTGTACGGTTTTGCCTTGATTGCCTGTCTTCTATTGTCACCAGCTGTCTTGTACAAGGACACTTGTACACAGGTGGAATAGCAGAACAAAATAAATTTGTGTCTGCAGTGCGCAGGGAAGGAGAAAGCAAGATCTTGAAGAGGTTGGCTCTGTTCTGTGTAGTTTTGTAGATTCTGCTTCCATGCAAGAGGCTAGACAAGGACTTCAGACTATTCATCCCTTCCTGAGTGCACGCACACACACTTTATGACTTTCATGACTCCATGCAGCAGGCATAACACACTCCAGACAACCCATTTTCAGGGGATTATATGGCTCTTCTCAGGTAGTTAAAGTCACTCAACCTTTTGACCTTGTGTCCCCTAACACTCCTAGAAGTATAATCACCCAGGAATGCACCACTTGTCATGTGTGTCTTATTACTGAAATAAAAAGATCAGCCATTCAGCAACCTGAGCTGTAGCATCGGGTTCATTTGGTGTATACATTATGATGAGAAAATAACATAAACTTAATAAGCTACACTGTTAATTAGCACATTGTCTCACTAGGGAGATGAGATACATAAATAAAATTAAGAATGATTAAGTGGAGAGGAGGCAGAGAAGTCAAACTGGAATAAACAGCATTTCTCAGGTCATTGGCTTAAATACTGATATTGCATGCTAGGATAATGCTTACATAAGAAAAGTAAATCTATGAACGCTAGACATCCGCAGGCACTCAAGCTGAACGTCACAGCCAATGGGCTCCTGGTTTGCTTTTGCTGAATGAGACTATAAGAACCAGGCTAGGTCAATGGTCCATCCCCTGCCTGGCTCTAATTGTACATTGATAACATAATTTATATGAACAAAGTGGATTTCAGGTTATCATGGTGGGCAACCTGTGTGCTTCCAAAAAATTCTCTCTGTTACCTGGGCATTCCTGTGAATAGTCCCGTCCCCCGTCCCCCAGCAGCCACAGGAACTAGAAACTTGTGTGTATGTGTATGTGATTATTATTATTATTATTGCCACTCAGGTCCTGCTTTTAGGCTTCCCATAGACACATGAAATGATTGATCTCAGTAAGAACAGGATGCTGGACTATATAGGCCTTTCATGGGGCTCTATTTATGTCATTATTCTCAGGAGGGGAGGAGATTCATCATCACAATTATTGTACAGAGTCATTACTCCAAACTTTTCTAAAAGCCTTGCCCTACATTAGTATTTAGGTTGGCTGGGGGAAGCATTACTGTCTATTGCACTGCTATAATAACTAAATAATAAGGTCATATTCATTGCATTGGAAAGGCCCCTGAAAGCTGACTTACTAAAGCACCACAGAGAAAACTGTAGTACAGTTAAATGCCATAACAAAACAATACATGACTAATCTACCCCCCCCAAAAAAAACCCTTTAGGCAGAAAACCTTTTCTCCCTAATTCTCGGGAATCTAATCCCCCCCCCCTTTTTAGAAAGAGACCTCTAGTGGCTAGCTTCTGCCTGATTTAGATGCATAGTAGTATTTTTTCAACACCCCCCCCCCGAGATGGACAAGATGCATGTTTACATAGCCACATAGCAACTTATAAGCCTACTCAAACAGTATTTTGTTGCTTAGTCGTTTAGTCGTGTCTGACTCTTCGTGACCCCATGGACCAGAGCACTTCAGGCACTCCTGTCTTCCACTACCTCCTGCAGCTTGGTCAAACTCCTGTTGGTAGCTTCAAGAACACTGTCCAACCATCTCGTCCTCTGTCG